ACATCACGTTCACATAATTTGGTCTCAATCTTTGTTACAAATCTGCGCTGTATCTTCTGTACGCGTGAGCCTCTAGACGCAAACGCAGTATAATCTGCAGACGAGACAATGTAACGCTACTGCTCGGCATCTGTGAAAAGAGCTTCATAGCTCATGGGATTCTTACAGTCTAAATAAAGATTCTGATTCTCAACTCCTGCGAGCCAAATTGTCTTTCCGATAAGAGAGTTAAAATTTCGTTCGATATCTGGGCAGATACGATCCTGATTGGCATCGCCACAATCGTCGCGATGGGTTTCCAGGCCGTGTTTCGCACCTCCGATGAACACGGCTGGCCTACGTACGGTGCTAAAGAAGTTCAACACACACGCGTGCATACGTTGCATTGCACGCGTCGCGGGTCGAGAATCTCTGAGCGTGAATACGGACGGATGGACAACAGACACAAGCCCATCGCCTCTGTTCGTTCGTCCGACAATTTGCCGCTGAGAAACGCAAATTCCGGCCGATAGTGGTCGTCTTTTGATTGATTGAGTGAGTGTGTGTGAGTGTGCGTGAGTGTGCGTGAGTGTGTGTGAGTGTGTGTGAGTGTGCGTGAGTGTGTGCGTGAGTGTGCGTGAATGTGTGAGTGTGCGTGAGTGTGTGTGAGCGTAGCGGTTAGCGCGCTGCGCTATAAACCTGGCGACCCAAATTCGATTCCCACTCACGGCCACCACCAGTGACTATTTTCGGAACCGGTGCCGGGCCTCCCCTAGGTCGACTCAGCCTCAAATGAGTACCTGGTGCGGAGTGTAAATATCGCCACTGGGGAGACAAAGGCGGTCGAGCGTGGTGCTGACCACCCACCCCCTCTTGTACCATTCCGGCCTTCATAGGTGCTCGCTAACATCACTCGCCCCAACAGTCTGTTAAGTCTATACGGGGGATCTTTGTGTTTTTGGTCAAGTTTTTAAAAGGTCACGGAACTGCGTGTTCCGTCTGGGTCGTCTACTGAGGGTCACGTGACCTCTCGGTGAGTTTGTTGAGGTCTCAGGAAGTGACCGCGGCGGTGGGCCCCCCTGACGTTCAGATGTCGTTGTGTCGGCGTGCCACAGATTTGGGACTCGGCTTTATCTTCCAGTTCCTGTGCTCAGTTGAACAGACGAGAGATGCTGCGTACACTTATGCTTTACACGCACTGGCAACACACTCACACACACATGTTTAGCTACACACCCAATCACAGAGCTTACACGCACGCTCATAGCTCTACGCCATACATAGCGCTATAATTATTACTCAGCAAAATATGTTCAACACGATTATCATCATACGTTGTTACATCTAAAGATCGGACACATAGAGAGAGATATACACACACACAAGTCATGGAACTTTGCACACGTAGGGCCGTGCACACGCATAAACGAACATACAGAAGCAGCCGCACAGAGCTGCACTCTCACACAGAGATGCACACACACACACAGAGTTACACACACGTGGAGATACACACACACATCGAGCTCCACACACATGGAACACACAGAGTTACACACGCAGAGCTGCACAAAAACATAGATGCACGCACATATAGCTGCAAAAACATAGAGATACACACGTAGAGATGCCCACACTCCACACACGTAGAGCAGCACTTACATAGAGCTCCACACACACGGAGCTCCACACACATGGAGCTCCACACACACGGAGCTCCACACTCATGGAGCTCCACACACATGGAGCTCCACACACACGGAGCTCCACACTCATGGAGCTCCACACACACGGAGCTCCACACACATAGAGCTCCACACACATAGAGCTCCACACACATGGAGCTCCACACTCATGGAGCTCCACACACATAGAGCTCCACACACACGGAGCTCCACACACATAGAGCTCCACACACATAGAGCTCCACACACATAGAGCTCCACACACACGGAGCTCCACACACATAGAGCTCCACACACACGGAGCTCCACACTCATGGAGCTCCACACACATGGAGCTCCACACACACGGAGCTCCACACACATAGAGCTCCACACACACGGAGCTCCACACTCATGGAGCTCCACACACATGGAGCTCCACACACATGGAGCTCCACACTCATGGAGCTCCACACACATAGAGCTCCACACACATGGAGCTCCACACACATGGAGCTCCACACACACGGAGCTCCACACACATGGAGCTCCACACTCATGGAGCTCCACACACATAGAGCTCCACACACACGGAGCTCCACACACATGGAGCTCCACACACACGGAGCTGCACACACATGGAGCTCCACACACACGGAGCTCCACACACATAGAGCTCCACACACATAGAGCTACACACACATGAAGCTCCACACACATAGAGCTGCACACACACGGAGCTCCACACACACGGAGCTCCACACACATAGAGCTCCACACACATAGAGCTCCACACACATAGAGCTGCACACACACGGAGCTCCACACACATGAAGCTCCACACACATAGAGCTGCACACACACGGAGCTCCACACACATAGAGCTGCACACACACGGAGCTCCACACACATGGAGCTCCACACACATGGAGCTCCACACACATGGAGCTCCACACACACGGAGCTCCACACACATAGAGCTCCACACACATGAAGCTCCACACACATGAAGCTCCACACACATAGAGCTGCACACACACGGAGCTCCACACACATAGAGCTGCACACACACGGAGCTCCACACACATGGAGCTCCACACACATAGAGCTCCACACACATGGAGCTCCACACACACATGAAGCTCCACACACATAGAGCTCCACACACATGAAGCTCCACACACATGGAGCTCCACACACATGGAGCTCCACACACATAGAGCTTCACACACATGAAGCTCCACACACATGAAGCTCCACACACATAGAGCTCCACACACATGAAGCTCCACACACATGGAGCTCCACACACACATGGAGCTCCACACACATAGAGCTTCACACACATGGAGCTCCACACACATGAAGCTCCACACACATAGAGCTCCACACACATGAAGCTCCACATACATAGAGGTCCACACACATGAAGCTCCACACACATAGAGCTCCACACACATGAAGCTCCACATACATGGACCTCCACATACATAGAGCTCCACACACATGAAGCTCCACACACATAGAGCTCCACACACATGAAGCTCCACATACATAGAGGTCCACACACATGAAGCTCCACACACATAGAGCTCCACACACATGAAGCTCCACATACATGGAGCTCCACATACATAGAGCTCCACACACATGAAGCTCCACATACATAGAGCTCCACACACATAGAGCTCCACACACATAGAGCTCCACACACATGGAGCTCCACACGCATGGTGCCACACTCGCACACTGAGGCAGCCAGTCTGTGACACACGCACACGACTGTGACACACGCGCAGGCTGTGACACACGCGCAGGCTGTGGCACACGCACACGACTGTGACACACGCGCAGGCTGTGACACACGCACACGACTGTGACACACGCACACGACTGTGACACACGCGCAGGCTGTGACACACGCACACGACTGTGGCACACGCACACGACTGTGGCACACGCGCAGGCTGTGACACACGCGCAGGCTGTGACACACGCGCAGTCTGTGACACACGCACACGACTGTGACACACGCACACGACTGTGACACACGCGCAGGCTGTGACACACGCGCAGGCTGTGACACACGCGCAGGCTGTGACACACGCACACGACTGTGGCACACGCGCAGGCTGTGACACACGCGCAGGCTGTGACACACGCACACGACTGTGACACACGCACACGACTGTGACACACGCGCAGGCTGTGACACACGCGCAGGCTGTGACACACGCACACGACTGTGACACACGCGCAGGCTGTGACACACGCGCAGGCTGTGACACACGCACACGACTGTGAGACACGCGCAGGCTGTGACACACGCGCAGGCTGTGACACACGCACACGACTGTGACACACGCACACGACTGTGACACACACGCAGTCTGTGACACACGCACACGACTGTGGCACACACACACACACACAATTCTCTTGAGCGCAACGCGAGTCACACCCAACACTCTACCCGCCTCCCCCCCCACCTCCATCATCCACCTCTCACACTCCCTCCCCATCTCACCCCTCCCCCCCCCTCTCCTCCACCCCACTCCCACGCCCCAACACACGCGGCCACCGCCGTCGCCCCTGCCGCCTGTGTTTATCGCCTCCTGAAGGCTCGCTGGCGTCATCCTCTCGCTAATGAAGATGACCGCCGTTAGAGAGGAGCGCACGGGGCGGACGGACGGCTGACAGATTACAGAGGGGGCGCGATTTAACCGGAGCGCGGACTCGGAGCCACACGCACTTCGCCTCCGCAGTCCCCGCGGGCGAAGCCACGGACGGCAGCGAAGTGTCGGGGACTTATTTGGCTTCGAGCGCAGGGGGGGCTAGGAGTGGGTGGGTGGGTGGTTGGTGGTTGGGTGTTTTGGTGGGTGGTAGTGGTTGGCGGTGGTGGTGGTGGGAGACGCAGTTGTTAGTTTAGCGCAACGCGGGCCAAAGCGGGCGATGAGATTTCGCAGCCCGCGAGTGGCAATCTCGGGCGTTGCAGAGCGCAGCAGTCGTCGTTTAGCAGCGTCGTCGTCGTAGCCGTAGTCGTCGCCGTCGAGGTTGCGAAGAGAGGCGAGTGGCAGGGCGCGAGTACAGATTGCTCGAGGTTGTAGGACGACACGGGGGAGGGTGGTGTTGCGACGTGGGATTGGCAGGCGGTAGACGAGTCGAGGTATATAGGATTGAGTCGAGTCAGGACACGGCGAGAGAGCCGCGGACGCCGACGTCTCACGAGCCGCTCAGATCACCGGCGCTGACGACGACGTCGAGACAGCGGGCGGGAGGGTGGGGGTGGGGGAGGTTTGAGTCCAAGTACACGAGGCACGTGTTCAGCTCGCTGTCGAATTGTTTTCAACAGACGCTGAGGGTTAGCGCGTATCATCAGTATCACACACACACGCACACTCCCACACATAATTAGAGCTATCTCATCATCATCATCATCAGCAGCGTCGTCGTCGTCATTATTTATTTCCCTGCGCCCATGGACGCCGTGCGAAGGGACCTGATGATGCTCATGTCCGAACGGGCGCTCGGCGGACACAAGTCGCACTTACGATGCGAGCCGCCGCCGAGTCCTGACCAGGACAGCGTGGGCCACCGCACCCCGCCGCCGCCACTGCACGCGCACAGCCTCGGCATCGGAGGCGGTGGCGGCGGCGGTGGCGCTCGTCTCAGCCCGCGAGCAGCCTCCCTGCCGGGCCACCTCTTCTCGCGCGACGAGGCGACGGTGCACAGCGCGTTCCGTGCGGCTGTGCAGGCAGACCACGCCGCCAGCGGACTGTCCCTCGGCGGCGGCGGCGGTGGTGGTGGTGGTGGTGGGAGCGGCGGGGCTCTTTTGCAGCTTTTTCGACGGCAGGCCGCGCTCCCCGGGCCGGCGTCGCTGTCGGGACCAGAGCGGTCCCTTCACGTCATCCGCCAGCACGGCGGGGCAGCCGAGGCGTCCGCCAGAGGCGAGCCCTGCACCTCGGAGGACGAGATACTGGAGGAGGAGCTGGAGGTCAGCTGCTCATCGCCCGAGTGTCCGGCGCCGCCACTGCGAGACTCGGCCAATGCGCATCATCATCATCAGCAGCAGCATCAGCAGCAGCAGCATCAGCAGCAGCAACACAGCACAGTCGCGGCAGCTGCTACGGGAAAAGGGAGAAGCAGCGACAGTCCTGGCGGAAAGGGTGAGGAGAGAGGGGGTCACGGGAGGGGACTGTCTGTGAGTGTCGCCTCGTGAGCGAGTGTTTACGTGTGTACATCTTTCTGTGTGTGTATGAGATTGTGTGTGTGTATGTGAGATTGTGTGTGTTTTGTGCGTGATTCTGTGTGTGTTTTATGTATTATGTCGATATCTGTGATTGACCAATAAACAGTAACGATTATCTGAACTGGTCCTGGACCTCCCCTAGGTCGACTTTGCCGCAGATGAATACCTGTGCGCTGTGTAAATATCACCATTAGAGAGACAAAGGCGGCCGGTCGTGGTGTTGGCCACCCACACTCTCCTTGTTTGTCGTGCCGGCCTTCATAAATGCTCGCTAATGGCACTTGCCGCAAGTCTGTTAAGTCTATACGGGGGATGTTTGTATTTGTGATTGTGTGTGTATGTGTACGCTTTACTCTCTGTGTGCGTGTGCCTCTGTACACGTATCGGGGGACGGCAATGTAGCGGTTAGCGCCTTGCGTTACGAACCCGGTGACCCGAGTTAGATTCCCGAATCACGATGAATACTCGCTAACAGCACTTTCCCCAACAGTCTGTTGAGGCTACACGGGGGGTCTTTGTATTTGCGTGCGTGTGCGAGCGGTACGATGAAGAGGGCACGCAGGGATCTGGTTCAGACATCATTCGCCACCGATGTTAGCCGTGGCCGGGGAATCGAACTCACGTGTGCCTAGCTCACAGCGCGCACCGGCGATAACCGCTTCGTTCACCGTCTGCCTCCTCCTCGCTCTAGCAACAATCCCCTCTTACCAAGTCGGCGGCGGCACGCGCGTCGCGAGGATGAGAACGTTGTAGCCGAGGGTCACGGCCAGGGGCTTCCCCGAGATGCACTGCCCAGCGCGGCCAAGTCGAGGCGAACGAGTACGCGCCGCGACTCGCGTGGCGCGCGGGGAGGTCATCTCCAAGCAGTGCATTGGCAACGTGCTGGGTAGTGTGCCGTGCAGTTCGAGTGCTGTCGTGATAACGCATGGAACTCATGCGATGCTTTATTCAATAACGTCTCACCCCCCCCCCCCCGCGCGCTAACAAGTGTACGAGAATGATCCACATGAATAATTGTAGTGGACTCACCAAAAAAAAGTGGACTTTTTTTAATTGCTCGTCGTCTAAGCGGGTAAACTATGGACCTGTTTCGACTCTCCTGGTTTCGTCTTTCTTGGGTCTCATCAGCCAGCAGTAGAGGCAGGCGTGTTAGCCGTGCAGAGAGCGAGTCCCGCTTGGCACATCTGAGGTCTCCTGCCGCGACAATGATTCTTGCGCGTAACGCATCAGCGACTTGCGTGATGTGATGCAGCTCCTTCGCTAATAATAATCCACTGCTGGATGAAGGCCTTTCTCTCTACGGCTGTTTGACCATACTTCACCACTTTGGGTCAGTAAGGGGGGTGGGGCGGAGGGGTGACTTACGTGATGAAAAATGAAACACTGTTGTCTGTCGAGATTTAAAACAATTGAAACAGTCGTTGTTAGGCCATTATATAATAATAATCATCATCATCGGCCATCATCAATCCACTGCTGGATGAAAGCCTTTCCAGGTCTTTGCCATCTGTCACCGTTCTGCGACGCGATCGTTAGGTTATTCGTGCGGCGCTTCAAAAATGTTCAAGCGGCCAAGTTGGTTGGAGGTCGTGAATCGCGAGCGAGCCGGTTGTGGAGACGGAAGGAGCCGATGGAGGCGGTGGTGGGGTGGGAGGTCGTAGCGATGGAGGTAGAGAAAGGCGACCTCACGGACAGAGAGACGCGGCGACTCGAATGTTCGGCGACAGAGAACGGCGATCGTAACAGGACACGCGCGGGCACACACCGGGAGATTTGGCGGTTTTGTTTTACCTTTGAACGTTGCCTGAACGTCCAAACAATTGATCGTAATTCACGAATTACTCGCAACGACATAGAATTAATATAACGTTATATATATATTTTTGGAAAGGTGTCAGTGCGTCTAGTTAGTATTGTCTTAGATTATTGATCATTAAAACAGTCGAGTTAGAATAATTTTAAAATTATATTTTTTTAATGAAAATAGCAAGGAAATATAAAAGCGACGTATTTAAACAAACGTGTGTATTTTACGCTCAGTAAATAAATAAAATGAAGTAATGAACTGCAGTAAAATGTAATGTTTCACGCATGACGCTATATATACACATATATATAACAAAAACACACGTGACTCGCACTTTTTTTTTATATATTATACGTTGAATTAAAAATAATCTAGGGTTAAATAACGCGCCGTTGAATATTTGTCTAAAACGTGCGATTTAATTCGGTATGCCTCAGGATGACATCGCTACATTATTTACAGCTGTTAAGAGGCAGTAACTGTAATTTAAGACGCAGCATGTTTTGGTGACATCTGAACAAAACTCGATTTAACGTCAGTTGTTTCTCCCCACCACGGAATTGACAAATGTAGCAGCCACTGAACACATGTGTGTAACACGCCTACACGCACACACCTACACTTATACCAATTGATACTAGCTCTCATTGCTGCTAAAGCTATTGTAGATTCTAATACATTTCCACGATATATAAAGATATATATATATACATTCAACACGTAATTAATTAGCAAATTAACACGTACAAATACTTAAACGCTTGGCGCTGACAATACCTTAAAGATCAACACCACATCTTGTTTGGCGATTTGATAATATAATAGGCAATCATGATGAATACTTACCACTGCAATTAACTCGTATATAATATATATGTAATACAATACGATAATTTATTATTCTACACGGGGTATATGCGCAATTCTCATAGCGCTAGGATATCAATCACAACTCTCGTTCCTGTTTGGAAAGTTACCATCGTTCGTGCATTCATGATCATCATCATCATGATCATCATTATCATGATCATCATTAACATGAACATCATCATCATGATCATCATTAACATGAACATCATCATCATCGTGATCATCAACCGTGGTCAATCCACTGCTAGGATGAAGGCCCCGCCGTCATAATTCATATCGGACGGAAGTTGTGACTGGAAAGATACTTGTTTAAATTCTGTTCACAGTTTTAGTAAACAATAATAATAATAATTTCGATTTAAAGCTTTCGTGACTGCAGGGATTCATCTTCTTGGTTCTTTCGGTAAAGTCACGGCGTTGTAGCCGAAACGTCGTGAGCATTATTTTATTATGTTTTATTTTTATTATTTTATTACTTCCCTTCTACGTGACTTTACCGAAAGAACCAAGAAGAAGAATAATAATGCTACAAATTATGTGATGTCGATGCTGCTTCTGCTACGTTGGCAGTGGAGCACAAGCACAATTAACAACACCCATCTCAAAGCATTCATCAAGCAGCACTGCCCACGTGTGCCCTGAAGAAGGGTCATTCGCCGAAACGTCGCCTACCATTGAATTGTTATTTTAAGGCGACGGTGGTATTGACGAATGCGTTGAGTTGATTTTTCTATTTTTATAATAAATTATCACGCTTCATTCTAAAATCGCCACTGTCATATTCAGCTAATGTGTCATTGTGACGGGCTCGCAATGCACGCGTCATCAGATTCAACACTTTAACCAACAACGAGCGGCATTTACAATCTCGCGAACTGTGATTTCACACGCGAGTGTGAGTGTGTGATTGTGTGTGGGTATATTTGTGTCTTTTATGTGTGTGTTTGCTTTTGTTATTGCACATTTATGCGTGTGTTCGTTTCAGTGTGTTTGCATGTATCTGTGTGCGTGTGTATTTATGTATGTGTGAGTGTGTTTATCATATTGTGTTTATGTGTGATTGTGTGTTTCTGTGTGTATTTACGTGAGTGCGTGGATTTGTCTGTGTATGGCTGTAAGTGTGACTGGGCATTATGTGTCTGCCTCTGTGCGTGTGTGACTGTGGGGAGTGGTGGAGCAGTGGTTAGCGCACTACGCTACGAACCCAACGATCCGAATGCGATTCCCGCTCACGGCCAACATCAGTGGCGAATATCTCAACCGGTCATGGAATTCCCCTAGGTCGACTCAGCCAACATTTAGTACGGGGCGCGGTGCGTAAATATCACCAATGGGGAGACAAAGGCGGCCGGGCGTGGTGTAAACCACACCACCCCCTCGTGTGCCGTGACGGCCTTTCGAGGTGCGCGCTCAGAGCACTTTGCCCAACGGCATGCATTTATCTATACGGGTGACATTTGGCTTTGTTTTCTCTGCGACTGTGTTTATCTGTGTGTTTAAACTGCGTTGAAGGTCAAGTGATGCGATATTTCAATTGACTCTCACAGGGCGGATCGTGTGTGTGTGTGTGTGTGCGCGCGTGCGTGCGTGCGTGTAGATCTTTGTGTATATATGTGTGTGCGCGTATATGTGAGTACGCGTACATATATATATGAATTTGTATGTGCATACGTGTACATGTTTGCATGTTGGGGCGAGTGGTGTTAGCGAGCACCTATGAAGGCTGCCACGGCACACGAGGGGGGGGGGTGGGTGACCAACACCACGCCCGGCCGCCTTTGTCTCCCTAACGGCTATGTTTACTACACACCTCGCCAGCTACTCATTTGAGGCTGAGTAAACACGGGGGATTTTTTTGTCCTTCTGTCTCCGTGTATATATGCTGGCGCACGCGTGTGTCAGTTTACACGTGAGTGCGTTGGTTTGAATGCTCATGTGTGTACGTGTATGCGTGTGTGTACACATGTTCGTGGCGAGCGGTGGTGTCGCGGTTAGTGCGCTGCGCTACGAACCCGACGACCCGAGTTCGATTCCCGCTCACGGCCAACACCAATGGCGATTATCTAAACCGGTTCTGGGCCTCCCCTAGGGCGACTCAGCCTCAAATGAGTACCTAGTGTGGTATGTAAATATCGCCACTGGAGAGACAAAGGCGGGCGTAGTGCTGGCCACCCACCCCCTCGTGTGCCGTTGCGGCCTTCATAGGTGCTCGCGAACAGCACTTTCCCCAACAGTCTGTT